CTAGTTTTCTAATTCTCTTCTCTCTCTAAGCTAAAGCTTATTCTCTCTCTTTTCTAAACGAACCCTTTTGCATACAAAATTCCGCATTCACAAGATCTAGACATACCTAGCATTGTTCGAAGTTGCCTTCACCCTAGACGTGAAAGGTTTGATTTCTGAGGGTTTGGTCCCAAATCTAATCTAAACTTTCCCAAATTTCTATTTCAATTATTATTTAATTGTTTTTTTTTATATTTTCCTTGAAGTTACTAACGCGTGTATTTTGTTATTAGAAAGAGGTAAGAGGCATCCAAGTAAGTGCTTTAATTGATTTATTGATATTATGATATAGAAATCATGCTTAGGATGTTCCTAGTATCATGTTAGGATGCTTTCTTTAGTATGATATTTAGGGTGATTTGCTTATATCAATTATGATTCCTGCGATGCTTCCTATTTTCTTTTCCTAATATTCATGTTAGTATCATGTTAGGGCTATATATTTGATCTTTATTTCTTAGTGACATGCTAGGGTTTGTTATTAATCTTTTTAGTATCATACCTAAGATCTTGCTATTATTATGCTTTAACATGATTATGATGATTGTTATTGTTATTGTGTTTATTATGTTGCTTGATATTTATTTATTGTTATTGCTTAATCACACCTTTTATGCATGTTTAAATGGAATTTTGTACTTGTAATAACGCTTATAAGATAATTAATAATCTTGTTAGGGTTAATTTGATTATAATTCAAGTAATCGCCAATAATAGATTTATTTGTGCATTAATATTCAACCAACATAGATAAACAGGTTTAGGGTTAACCTATTGATTGCATGTTAGCCAAAAAGCGCACATGAATATGATCAGAATAAAGTAGAGGCCTATTATTAGGGCAGGTTCAATCTCTTTTAGGTTGGATTTGTACCTTCATCCCCGAACTACTAGTCATGGTTCCAGACCTATTGGAGTTGACGATCTCCTGGATCGTTAAGGGGTGTAACCTTCACCCCGTGAACGGTTTACAAGTTCCTAAAACTTGTTGGCGACTCTTTTGCTCTATCTTCTTTCCCTTTGGACGCCACCGTACTTAAGTGTATGATTACAATGGGGTTCAAGTTTGGGATAATGCTTGAAATATTCCCTACAATATGTTATGTTATGTCTAATGTATTATATGTTCTATTATAATTAGCCTTGTATTTCGTTTTGTTCAACTCTAATATGCCTTTTAATCGTCAATTTTTTTTCAGATGGAGCCTAGTCAAGCTAAGGGTGAGGCAAGCAATCGAGGTAGAGGTAAAAATAAAAGGTAATGGACATATGAAGAAGATGCAGTTCTAATAAGATATTTGCATGAGTTGAGTTGCAATCCAAAGTGGAAGTGTGAGAATGGGTTTAAGAATGGTTACATGAATAAGTTGGAAGAGATGATCAATGGTGTACTTCCTAATTGCGGCTTGAGAGCGGTTCCCCACATTGATTCGAGAATCAAGCATTGGTCGGAGAAATATAGTGCATTGGCGGAAATGTTATCCACCTTAGGATTTGGATGCGATGCTGAGAAGAAGATTCTACAAGTAGATAAGTCGGTGTTCGACGGATAGGTAAAGGTGTGAACTGCTCTTTCACACCTCATTGTTTCCGTTGTACAGTTCATATGACCTGAGTTTTGTAATTTTTGTTATTTCACTGCCACTGTTTTTGTATTATCATTAGATTAGTAGCTGAATAATGTCTATTGGTGTTGTGACTGTTTGTTAGCACAGGCACAACCAAGTAAAATTATTCTCTGCTTTATATCGATCCTCTGCTACAATTTTTATGATATTTTTTCGTCATTACAGATGTCAAACTAGATAGAATTAGACCTCCTGACTTCTTCGGCTGATTGTTTAGTTGATTTTTCTTCATTGTTTTGTTGAATTTTTATAAATTTTACAGCTTTTTCTTCAATCTTTTTCTCTTTTACTTCCTCCGTTCTTTATTACTTGACCCGCTTTGACTTTTACACTATTCACCACCCTTCCTTTGACCGTCTTTTGTGAATAATATGTAAGGAAATATATATTCATGTAGGACCTTTTTGAATTCGTCTCAATAAGTACTATCATAATATATAACTTTATAATTTTTACTTATAGAGAATTGAAGTTATTGATCGTTAAAGTTTTGCATAGACAAGCGTGATAAAAGAAACATGTCAAGTAAAAAAGAACAGAGGAAGTATATCCTTAATTTAGTAAGCTTACTACTCAGCCTATTTTGATTCCATTTTCTCTCCAAAAAAACCTATTTGTAGTTTTGTGTAATTGGGTTTTTGCCTTTTGGGGATTCAGAAATATGATTGTGGAATTTGGAATCAAGTTAATAGCAACAATAGAGGTCACTCTCCAATATTGCCTATTGAAGGCATACCCATTCTTAGTTGTCTTATATCCAACATAAAATTACTTTTTGGTTAATTAGTTATGTTCTAATGCAATTTTTTTTCTGATCTATGTCAATCAAAGAACTAACCAGTTGTAATCTCTTTATTAGCTATACTGATGCAAATTTTTTTCTGATCTGTATCAATCAGAGAAGAGTTGCCCATTCTTAGATGTTCAGAGCATAAAAAATCAGGATGTTTGGCTTCTTTTATCAGTGTCGAAGATATCATGCAGAAGGGTAATAGTAATACGTTAATCTAGTTGAATACTTGAATATATAGTTTGAATCATACGGCAGAGAGATTATTCTGAATCTGAAATCTTAATTCTTAACTCTGAACAAAGAGTTTAGTTCAGAAACTAGTATATGCATAAAATATATTAATCTAGTTGTATTCTCTCTTATATGGCAGACTCATAAGAAAGCTAAGGGGTTGTTTGGAGTTCCATTCGTTCATTATGACACTCTAGCAGAAATATAAGCAAATGACAAAGCTACCGGAGGTGTAAGTGAGTCATTCGTTGATGCCATAGAAGATATGGATCAAGAGATTGATAAGCAACCATTGAATGTCGAGAGTGATGAAGAAGATGATGATGAACAAGGTAAAGGGAAAGAACAAGGTAGATTTGAAGATCGAGTTTGTGTAGGAATGATGATGATGATTTAGTGGCCTCCTTCCATGATGTTTCTAACAATTTTGGGAAGATATTTGAAAATACCAATGTTAATATTGGGACTATGGCTAGTGCATGGTCTAAAGCGGAAGAAAGAGAGCAAAGGATGGATGAAAAAGTGAACAAAGTTTTAGATGAGATGATGAAGTTAGATGGAACTTATCCATCCGAAGCTTTAGAGGTTGCTATAATTCTCATGGCGGAAGAACATAAGCTTCACATCTTCTATCAGGCGCCAAATAATATGAAGAAACAATATACAATTGATCTTCTTAAGAAGTAGAAAGTTTTGTCCTAAGTTGTTATTGGAGTTAATGTTTAAATGGTTTTTATTTATTTATTTGAGAATACTAGAATTTCAATGCTTTTGTAATCAACAATTTATGTGACTTTGCCTAAGAAGGAAAGCTATTTGTTTCCAAGTTATATATGTCAAACAAGAGGATAGGGATTGATTATAATCGTTTACGTTTCCTTAGTAATATCAAACAATTAGTAAGGGTAACACTATATATTACGTACCCTTTGCCCTTCTAACTTGTTTCCATTCCCTTACGTTTACTAATTTGCTACCGAACACCCCCTTACTCTCAGTCCTCAGATTTCCTTCTCCTCACGACTGTAACCAAAACAGATCATATATCTCCCTAGCTCATTTGTCCATCAATAACGCGTACGACGACTGCAGCTGCTGGAATGCAGCAGTCCTAGCAGCAATTTCATCATTAGCTTGAACGTTATTATTGCTGCAATCAGAGTTTCCTTTTCTTTTCCTCATGATTGTATCAGGATGTAATTCTAGAGCTTTTTTTTCGATAAGCTGTCTTGATCTCTGCTTGGGTTAATTTCGTGCAGTCGAATTCGACAGATGACAGACCAAGAACGCTATAATGATCAATAATATTATGATCCATCTTCATCAGTTAGAATTATTCAAACTTTGGTATTATGAAATTTATGATTAACGCTTTGCTAATGTTTAAACCTGTGATATATTTATATATATATAAATATTAACGCATTGTTAATATTTATGATTAACGCTTTGCTAATAGAAGATAGATCTTTCAAAAAAAAAAAAAAAATAGAAGATAGCCAGATAGTAGATATATCCAAGGTTTTAACCTTGGCTAGGACTTCTAAAGGCGGCAGATTTTTTAATTTTTTTTAGAAAGCATTTTTTCCTTATTTAAATTCCGTTATTTATTTATTTAAAAAATAGTGCTCCATAAAATATTCAGATAATTACAAATAAAATATGTAGTTTGATCATTTTATAAAGAATGATTTCGATCCTAAATATGGAATTACAGTTTTTTTTTTTTTTTTTTTTGAGGAAAAATACGGAATTACAGTTGAAATAAAGCTCTATCTTTCCTTAAAAAATAAAATAAAAAAGACACAAAATTATTTTTTTTAATTTTTTTTTAAATGTCTCTATTTGAGACCTTGGGGATAAAATTTGATAAAATTTGTTCTTTATAGTTGAATTTTTATTCTAGTAATATTACGTTTTGCAACGTACAAGTTTAACCATTAATTAATATCCTATATGATTTCATAATTATAAATCACAAAAACAAGTTAAAATAAAGTTTATAAAAAGTCCAAAAGTCAAAATGGGTCAACTAAAAAAAGAACAAAGGGTATACCGTATACAGTATGTGATTTGAATATCCAATAGCAATAATCCATTAATTATAGGTGAGCTAAATGGGTCAACTAAAAAAGAATTGACTAGTTGTGCATTTTCTAAATCAAACTTACGCACCTTTAAAAAAAAAATATCAAAAATACGCAATTAAACATTACAAACTCACAATTAAAAAGAAAAAAAAAAACGAAAAAAAAAAAAAAAAAAAAAACTTTATTATTGTCAAATGCTCATTAATTATGATGATAGTTTTATTTATCTTGTACACCTCCATAATATATAGTCCGACCAAAATCAGGACTATAACCATCATCTAAAACAGTGTAGTTAGGATAACAGTTCATAACCTTTGTAGGATTTCCAGGCAATGCCACATTAACATAGTTTTCATCAAGATACGTAGCTCGGTAAATTGCTGCTGAAGACGATCTTGATGTATATAGTCCTTTGACGCCACTGCCCATATCAGGTAACGTACTAGGACTAGGAGGATCAGTCGATCCAAAATCATAAACCTGGCCTCCCCATTCAACTTTATTCGCAACATCGGCTAATGTAGTAAATATTTCTTTAGGCCAATATCCAATTGCTTTGTTTACTTGAGCTACGTTTAACCACCAATTCCCGTCATCTTTATGCTATATCCTCGGATAAAATTAATTAATGCAAATGAGTGTATTTGTACAAAACGAGTTTATAACACTTGAATAAAGTATAACATGCACGATCTGGTAAAGGATGTCGCTTTTAAACAATTATTTGGCCGGAAAAATTCTAGTCAACGTCGGAGTTTGGTCAACGGACTTTCCCCACAACTCAAATGGAATATAAGGACCTTTTATGCCACCTTTTTTTTATAAAAGGGCTTTTCTCACAAGGTTGACCACTTAAAAGGATATTCCTTGCAAATTTCGTAATATTTATTTCTTTTTTATCTCTAATTAAACCTTCTTTTTCCAATGAATTGGAATACAAATCATACAATATATTTCCGTATTAAAAGAATACATACTTACATACATATGGGAATGCGGAATACCTTTTTATTTTAGAGAGTCAATATTCATTGATAAGCCCAATCAAATCAATTTGCATTTTTAAAAGAAAAGTTGTGAAATTGTACCTTCTCAATTGAAAAATTCCAAAACCTTTGTTGTCCTCCAATAATTGAGTACGTGTCCGGGGTTGTACCCAAAGGTGCGTCTGGAGCGACTTGAACAAATCCTGGACATTGAAGATTTACACATCCTCCTTGCTTCGCAAGCTATTAATTTAAGATTATATTCAGCATACAAATTAAGAAGCTAATACATAAATTGGTACATGATTATTGAAAATTTGATGTGCCTAAGATGATTCAAAACGATTTACACATAATTCAAGAAAGGGTGAAAAATTGAGGGCTTGTTCTCATACGATTATTTTCAGTTCAGTTTAGTTCTAATAAGTTCAGTTCAGTTCAATTCAATTCAATTCAGTTCAATTCAGCTCTAATAATTTCAGCTCAGTTCAGTTCCTAATTTCCTTCTCTTATAAAATATTCAGTTCAGTTCAGTTCAATTTATCTCAGCTCAATTCTAATAAGTTCAGTTCAATTCAGCTCGGCTTAGTTTAGTCAATCAGAACAGGCCCTGAGTAGGTGTAAGAGAAACTAAGAGTGGTGGTGTATAAAGGTGAGTGAATATAAGACAAAGTATGAGAGATTTTATACAAAGGTGGATATGTCTAATAATATAAAGTAGGAAAAAGAGTATAAAAAGGGAAAAATATTGTGGGATAACGCAATTTCTACCCTACTCCTGGAGTATCGTGAGCACGATACTCCAGGGTCAAACAACGTCATTCTGTTATCCCTTCCTTCTTCTCTGTTTTCCCCTTTTTCTTCTGCTATACTTTGTTTCCTGTATTTTCTTTCAATTTCTGTGAATTTCTTCTCCCTTGTTTTCCTCTTTTTCTTCATGCTATTCTTTTTTTCCTCTATTTTCTTTTAATTTTTGTGAATCCAATCAATTTTTTTATTCCAATTGTAATTTCTGAAAATTAAAAACGGCACTAATTTAAAATAGAAAAACAGAAGATACGATTTATTTGAATATCACATGTTTAAAACAAAATAACAATAGACTTTAAATAGAATAACATCAATTTGTGTATGAAGTAACTCAAAGTTCGACCTAAAATAACACATAACTTGATAACTGAATAACTTAAACTTCTATTAAAATAACATAAGATATTAAAAAAAAATAACAACTTAACTCAAAGGTTAAATAGAATAATAAAGGATACATTAAAATAACAAAACAACACAAAGTTAGGATTTCGTTAAAATAACACATGATAAAAATAAAATAACATTACGCTTAAAACAAAATATATCATTTAAATTATGAAACAAATTAAAAAATTATGTTTTAGAAGAGCGTTAAATAATTCCGTCAAAACAAATTTACTTTCAAAGACTAAAACAACACATGATGATCAACCCAAAATAACATTAGATTTCAAATAGAATAACATTATATATTGAGCAAAATAAAATCATTTTAAAGAATGACAGTAACAAATTAAAACACATTTTAGAAATATAGATCTGACTTCACAATCAAAATAACATAATATGCAATGTTGAATAACATAAGCCTAGAAACAAAATTGATCAAAATAACAAGAACTTATCTATAATTTTTGTTTTATTTTAAATATACAATTTCATCTAGTTTTTCATTATCATTTAATTGGTTTGCCATACTTGCTTGTCTTAATTGCAAATTTCATGTTATAATTGTACAATTGCAAAATACTTTTTAAATAATTAAACAAATACTTACTTCCCTTGATATACATTTCAATAATTTATGTTGTTTTTGGACATGATCTTGAAGTTGAATATGACCTTTAATGGACAAGAAATTTGCAGGACTAGTTCAAATGGAGAGAGAAAGTGAAGATAGTGGAGAAGAAATGAAATGATTTGATATTTTTTTCATCCACCTTTACAAGTATATGGAGTTAGTTTCATGTTATTTGCTTTTCCTAAGTTATTATTTTGTCAAATTTAGCCTTACATGCTTTAATTTCGTTGACTGGGTTTTTATCCCATTTATTAGATAGGGCTGGACCCTAGAGTACAATACTAGGTACTCCAGGAGTACCTAATACTAGTTGGTGGGATAAAAGGTCAAAAGGTATGTGAAAAATTAAATAAAGAAAAAAAAAGTTAAAGTTACATAAAACAAAATTTAAAAATAAAGAAAATTTTAATTTAACTAATCCAACCTTTTTATTCTATTGAATAATCCACCCCTTACCCCCATTCTGTTTTTCTTAGGCTAAACTGACCATTTACCTATAGAACAAGTCATTTAATTTTTTTAAATAAATAAACAACCTATCTCCTCCTCCTTCCCCAACTGCCTCTCCCCTTATTCCCCCAGCCACAATCACCTCCACCTTTCCCTTTCCCTTTCCTTTAGGTTAAAATCGTCAAAGGTGGCCCGTTTTAATGAATTGATTTTACAATTTTAAAAAAAATATGGGAAATAATAATAATAATAATAATATAAATAAATAAATAAATAAATAAAAAACTATACATATGCAATATAAAAAGTGTTTAAAAACCGATATAATATTTTTTGTGCATTGCACAAAATTTGAAGTAACAATGCATTTAAAGCGAGCCTCTCCCTGTTGTAGACCATGAGGACTCTCAATTGCTTGACATAATTTACAAATTATTGTATATGTTGTCACATGGATGTACAATATTTGATTAGAATACTTACCAAAAATCTTACATACAAATGTGCTTCAGTATCATTGAATAGTTTTGGACTTACCTATAAAATAACCAAATTTACAAATTTAACATCAGAAGTGTAATAATAATAAATATTCTCTATAACATAAGATTCAATTTGAAAACAATAATTTAAAATTTTGGTACCATCCATCCAGCTTCTAAGCTATCGTCTCCATATGAAAGTTTGATTCGCGTAGAAGAATATTGGTTATCATTATATACACGAGGTTTATATAAAACCAGTGTACCAGTAGCTCCATAGAATAATGTGTTGTTATTTGAAACATCATTATTTAATTGAACTCCAGCAACCTACACCATTAATAGTGATTAATATAGTTAATACCTTTGCATGAATATATCACGTTATTAGTACATTATTATGTATATAAATTAAACGTAAGCATTAATATGTCATTGCATAGAAGCACTTGGTGCAATTTTGTTTACCGATTATAAACTTGTCATTTGGGCCATTTGGCTCGTGTAATTTGCATATGGTTTATAGCTATATAATGTTTATTTACTTCTTTTTTTTTTTAATTAGAATAGCCAATAGTTTAGAAAGGAGAAGGAGCTGACAGCTGAGGGCTGGGAATTAAATATAAGGAAATTAAGTTAGGCACCAATGAAATAAACAACATTTCCTGTTATCCTTTTTTTTTTTAAAAAAAAAAAAAGAGAGAGAAAGAGATCGATAAACGACATTAATATATTTGTGTATTTTTTTTATACTACGTACTAGATAAGTCTCGTGCGATGCACGACATAAAAAATTTCTTTAAAATAAATATTTATTTTACATATGTCTCTCGTATGAGATAAATTATAAAAACATAACCATTAATTGCACTGCTATTTAATTTAGATTTAACTAATTTTAAAGAAGAGTATATATTTAAGTAAATTATGCAATACGAAATACTCTGTAACCGGGAGTAATTATATTTTGAAGCCAAATAGTAACTCATAAATTCATCATAATATAATATATGGAATAAATAATTAATATAATATAATAACTGTTTAAAAAATATATATATAAATAGAAAAAAATATTGTAATAATTTAAGGTGAAAATAAAAATAAAATATGATGTTAGCAATTAATTTAGGCGGGAAAATTTTTAATCACAACTTGACATGTGTACAAATTGAAAAAGTGATGATGTCAGCGGTTGTTGTTTTAGTTTATTTATAGAATAGGTTTTTAACGGAACCTTAAATATGTGTATTGACTTAGGGTCTGTTCTCATTGACTGAACTCAGCTGAGCTGAACTGAACTGAACTGAGCTGAACTGCACTGAACTGAACTGAACTGAACTGAGCTGAAATGAACTGAACTAAACTGAATATTTTATAAGAGGAGGAAATTAGAAGCTGGACTGAACTGAACTGAGCTGAGCTGAGCTGAACTGAATTGAACTGAACTGAACTGAACTGATTTTCAACATAAGAGAACGGGCACTTGAGGTTAGTATCTGGGTTTTTTTTTTAACTTTTACCTTTATTTTAGAAAGGAAACAAAAGAAAATGATAAAAGTTGTGACATTGGCATGAGTTGTTTATTTTAAAAATACTTGAATTGGTTTAAATTAATTATTGTTATTATAAACTATATGCAAAGTATTTTTTTAAAAAAAATACTAATGACACATTGTGCCCCCAGAAATTAAATTAATTTTCATCAAAATAATACTTTCGTATTAAATTTTTAAAAAAAATAAAAAATAAAAAATCTTACGCAATTTAGAAGGTTGGATTGAGGAGGTGGTGCATCCTCGCCCCAATGGGAATTTGGATTGGTTCTTAAAATGGGTACAGTCCCTATAGGGCATCCACCATCTTTTAGTCCAAAGCCATTAACTTTCTGTCCTTGAAGTTCTTCTATCAAATTTGGCAATACCTGTATATAAAAATAAAAATTTAAGAGGACATGTGAGGGTAGTTTTATTTATTTTATTCTTTTTGAAAAACTACCTCATTAATAAAAAGTCTTAAGACATTTCAAATGACATAAATTCAATAAATACATTAAAATTAATCAAACAAATAAAGATTTCCTTCATAGAACCCACATTCATCGAATGGAACTCGCACTATGGTACATCCTTGCGCACATCACTATAAAGTACAACCTTTTTAAAGAGACAATGTAAGAATTCTCTATAGCTGAGAGTTTATTGTAGCTAAGAGGGTGAATATCATCTGACTCATTCAAACGTACAAACTTAAAAATTTGACAACCTTATATGATTTTTTACCAACGAATCAATTATAAGGCAGAAGAAGATTTATTTATTTTTAACTAGGTTAGGTCTCGTACCATGAACGGTAATTTTCAATAACTATTTTTTAAATGAACATTATATTAAATATTTGGGTTTCATATGTTATATTCATATCAATTAAATGCTGAATAATTATAAAAATGGTAGGAAAGAAAATCACACTAAGAATAATCAACATGTGTCAAAGTATTATTGAAGTGTCCATAGTTAATAGTAGATTATTAATAGATTAAAATTTTAATCATAATTTATTCAAGAAAATAGCAAAAGTATCCTAAAAATAAGGACACACCAGAATATGAAACATGTTCATTGTTGGTGTGTCTTTTAGTATATAGTTATTGATTGATAAGCCGTAACCAACAATAATAATTCCCTAAGGAGAACAAACAACTAACTTAAACCAACGACCAATAACTACACTACGAACGACCAACAACTCCACCACGAGGAGATAATTGGTACATCTACACTACTCTTGTAGAGTAGTATTCGAAATTAGCAAAGAAAAATAAAGAGAATGAGTTTAAAATAGTCTTATATCTTACCCTAGAGGAGATGAGGAGGGGAAAGAGAGAGTAACTTATACATACATACATATATATATAAAAAAGGGCTTAGGCTTTAATTAAGTGCAATTTAATTTCAAGTTAAAATGCCATCGAAATAAGGGATTTTAATTAGCCAATGAAAAAAGAAAGTAGCCTTATTATATAATCTTTGGTTAAAAATTTTATCTAAACATCTTTTTCTTTCTTTTTTTTCTTTTTTGAAAGCATTTTATCTAAACATCTAATGAAAGGCCTGTTCACATTTACTGAACTGAGCTGAACTGAACTGAACTGAACTGATTGGAGCTGAACTGAACTGAACTGATTAGAGCTGAACTGAACTGAACTGAACTGAATTGAGCTGAAATTAATATTTTATGAGAGAGGAAAATTAAGAGTTGAACTGAACTGAACTGAACTGAACTGATTGGAGCTAAACTGTACTGAACTGAACTGATTAGAGCTGAACTGAAATTAAGTAAATGTGAACAGGCCCGAACTAAAAATTACAAATTATTTTATAATAAAAAATAAAAAAAATATTACATAATTTATCTTATAAATATGTAATATATTTTGTTTTTAAGAACTCAAGCAGTACAATAAGAGCTTGTTTGGCATCGTTTTCTGTTTTCAGTTTTCTTTTTTTTTAAAACAAAAAACCAAAAACAGGAAACAAAAAAAAGGTTTTTCCACTTTTTTGTTGTCAGTTTTTAAATTTATCATGATTTTAATAATATTAAGTAATTTTTGTTTCATTATATGACTTATATCATGTGAGTTTGAAAACCAAAAAACAGAAAAGCACAACAAGGTCAAACAAACCCTAAACTGTGCATCGCATGCACGGAGTATATTATGCACATTTTATTCAAAATAAATTATTTAGCCCATGTTATTAGTCATGTGTGTTTGGGTCCAATTTATCTAATTGGGCCTAGTCATTTATTTGGGTCCAATTATCTTATTGGGTCTGGTCACTAAATGACTCAATATTCCAAGGTCAAGGCCCGAGCCTCCAATCAAGCCAAGTTAACCAAGAGTCCTTTGGTCCGAATTTCCATGGTCATCCCATGACTATTTAAGGGCCCAATTACCCTCCTCTCCTCATATGCAAAGGTATATAAGCCTTCAATTCATTCATTTATGACATATACATAAAAGCCTCAAGCACAAAATCTCCTGCATAGCTTTCTCTCTCTAGACACTGTTTGACTTCGGCATCGGAGGGGTCTTCCTCGGATCCACCCCCGAGGCCAGTTTACGTGTTTTAGTTGTGCAGGAAACCTTCGGCCCAGCATCAATTGGACCGAACCAGTCTTCAGCCACTTCAACGGTCCTTCGGCAAGGCCCCATTGTTTTCATCCGAAATAATTTGGCGCCGTCTGTGGGGAAGACTTTCAAAAATCTTTAAGCCAAATCTTTAATCAAAATCATCTTGCAATCATCTTAGTAGCAATGGCTAAGAACCACAAGAGCAAAAGCCTCCGTCAAGGAGCAGGCGAAAGGCCTAAAACTTTTACACCATCACCCTCACCGGACCGAGAAATCTCCCAAGGGTGCCAGTTCGGGGGGAGGATCATACAGGGAGGATTCCCTTTCTCCTGTAATTCACAACTCTCATCATAGGCCGAGTCCCTCTCGGTCTAACAGAGGTCAGTCCGATCATAGGACTCATTTAGTGCCCCAAAGCCAACCATCGACCATCCGCTCTCATTCCCACACTCAGCCGAGGACCCCTTTGACGAGGCCCAGCTCAGAAGAGGTGGCGAGAGCGCTGGCAGTGCTCATGGAGGCAATGAGGGCACAAAATATGCCTCCACCTCACGATCGAACTCCTCCGCATAACCGGCATCAGCGGAGGAAGCTAGACCGCGATGGGGAGAAACCTCCCTCCTTCCGGGAACTGAAAAAGTGGGAAGAGGATACCTGGAGAACTGAAAGAGAGAGGAAAAAGAACCCTCAATTTTTCAGAGGATCCGCAACCTCTCGGCCAAAAACGCATAAGAGCAGCAGCTCAGCTTCTTGGCCAGAATCTGCTCGCCGAGAGCAACCTGAGACTGTTCGCCGAAGCGTACTCGACCGACTCGGCGGCAGGGAGCCGAGCATGCACAATCGCCTCTCGTTCCCTGTAGCCGAGGCCCAGACTTCCCAGCCAGGGACGAAAACCACTCCTACCTCTCTAAGAGGGCGGAGCGCGGTCCCTTCGGCCAGGAACAAAGGCAAGGCCGTTATGCTACCCACCAATTCCCCATTTGAGCAATGGATACTGGAAGAGCACGTGCCCACGGTTAAAATACCGTCGCACATCACATATGATGGGACTTCGGATTCGAAGGACCACATTGCCTCGTATGAGGCTCATATGCATCTTTGCCCCAGGTCCGAAGCGACATGGTGCAAATATTTTCCAACCACTCTCAAGGGGGTCGCGCAAGCGTGGATCTCCAAGGGAGTGAAACAAGGCTCTATAACAGGGTGGGATGACCTGTCCACCAAGTTTAAGAGCAAGTTCTCCACGGCAAATCGCCGAGAGAAGACCACTGCTGAGCTCATGGGCCTGCAGCAAGGGGAGACCGAGAGTCTCCGGGACTACCTGACCCGTTTCAGCAACGAGTCGTCCAGCATTTCTCAGCTGGACCAAGGGCTAGCAGTTTTCGCCCTTCAGCACGGCCTCAGAGCAGGGCAGTTCTCCGACTTCATGGTCATGAATTCACCCAAGACCTTGGAGGAGACGCTGAATGCTTCGGATAAGTTCATCCGAGCTGAAGAGTGGAACAAAACAAAAACCCAACCTCAATCTGGGGGAGGGAAGCAAAAACAAACACCCTCGTCTGAAGGCCAAGGCCAGAGGACAAAGGGAAAGGCTAAGGCCTCGGAACAATCTTCGGCCAACGAGCCTAAGAAGGAAAAATCTGCCCCATACACAGGCAGATATGAATCCTACACTCCACTATCTCTTCCACGCGCCAAAATTTACAGCGTGACAAAGGAGGAGCAGAGTTACAGAAAGCCGAGACCACACCTAGAGTGGTATCAGCGAAAAAATAAAAATCAGTGGTGCGAGTTCCATGAATCACCGGGACATAACACCGAGGAATGTATCCAGCTGAAGGACCAGATCGAGGACATGGTCCGGAAGGGATACTTGAAAAAATACATCGCGGATTACCACGAGAAAAAAGAGGCCAAGAAGTCAGCAAAGGACTCTCGGCAGGACCTTGACTTCCCCCGGAAGAACAGCAAGAGTACGGAGGGAAAATTCTCTCCAATCAATGTTATCTCGGGAGGAATATGCTCTAGAAGGGAACACAAGCGACACCTTAGGGCTCTGACCCACCAGGTGAACAACGCTGATATTCAGCCTCCTCAGTCGCCGGTGCCGAACATGACGTTCACAGCCGCCGACTGCCGGGGGGTAACATTCCCTCATGAGGACCCGCTGGTGATCATCGCCACGGTGGCCAACCACGACGTCAACAAGGTCCTTGTTGATGGTGGCAGCGGAGCAAACATTCTGTTCCGAAAGGCCTACAATCAAATTAAGCTGAAGCCCAAGCACCTTACGCCGGTACCCTACCCGGTATCCAGATTCAACAGGGCTTCAACTTATCCAGACGGGAAGGTAACACTTCCTGTCACCATCGGCTGAGATGAGGCAGCCAGGAACGTCATGACTGAATTTTTTGTCATTGACGCTCCTTCAATGTACAACGTGATTTTGGGGAGACCCATAATTCATGAGATCCAAGGAGTCGTCTCAACCTATCATCAGCTGATGATTTATGTCTCAGACGCCGGCTTCCCCGAAAGGAGCCAGGGCAGCCAAAAGGACGCACGAAGGTGCAACTACCTCAAGCCATCCACCAGTCGCCCAGATGACGACGATGAGGATGAGGAGGAGAAAGAAAAAGAAAGAGAGCCAAGCACAAAAAAGCCGAAAGGTTTAAGTGCTTCGGCCCAAGGTTCTGTGCCCAGAGAAAAAGGGCCAGAAAAAGAAAGAGCTGGCTCTTCATCTGAGCCGAAAGACTTAGAGAGCCAGCTGAAGAAGAAAAAGTCTGTGACGCCTGCTGACATAGACAGCAGACCAGATTGTGAAGAGTCCAGTCCATCAGCAATGGACATGGACCAGCAGACTGAAACGGTCGAGTTGGCCGAAGGAGACGCTGAGAAATGTGTAACAATCGGGATGGACCTTGATCCGAACACCCGTTGTGAACTTATTCAACTCCTTTGGGACAACAGAGATGTGTTTGCTTTCTCGGCAGCTGATATGCCCGGGAGAAGTCCAAACCTCATCTCCCATAAGCTTAACGTTGACCCAACGTGTCGGCCAATTAAGCAAAAGAAGCGGAATTACTCCGCAAATAAAAACCGAGACATCGCAGCCGAGGTCAAAAAGTTGCTGGAGGCAGGCTTCATCGAGCCTTGTCAATATCCAGAATGGCTGGCAAATGTGGTGATGATTCAGAAGGCCAATGGTACCTGGAGAATGTGCGTTGACTTCACGGACCTAAATAAGGCTTGTCCGAAGGATTTCTATCCCTTGCCGAGGATCGATCAGTTAGTTGACTCGACAAGTGGCCATGCCTTGCTTAGTTTCATGGACGCATTCTCGGGGTATCATCAGATCTTCATGCACCCTGACGATCGAGCAAAGACGGCATTCGTCACGAACGCCGGGGTGTACAATTATAAAATGATGCCCTTCAGATTGAAAAATGCGAGGGCAACCTATCAAAGGCTGGTGGATCAAGTTTTCGCCGATCAAAAGGGCCGAAACATGGAAGTCTATGTTGACGACTCAATCGTCAAAAGCAAAAAATCTGAGGACCATGTTAAGGACCTGGCTGAAACCTTCGCCACCTTAAGAAAGCACCAAATGAAGCTGAATCTGAAGAAGTGTGTCTTCGGCGTGAAGTCAAGGAAATTCCTTGGGTTCATGGTCAGCAAGAGGGGGATTGATGCCAATCCCTCCAAAGTCAAAGCAGCGCTCGACCTTCCTGAGCCGAAAACAAAGCGGGATGTTCAGCGGCTCACCGGAAGAATGGCAGCCCTCTCGAGGTTCATTTCCAGAGCTTTGGATAAGGGGTTACCTTTTATTCAAAGCCCTGAAACTCTCAAAAACAAAAGAGCTCGTTTGGGAGGAAGAGCAAAAAGAAGCCTTCAAACAGCTTCGGGAGCATCTGGCTCAACTCCCAACGCTGGCTAGCCCAGCAGAGGGAGAAACTTTGTATTTGTACGTGGCTGTTAGCCCAGTCACCATCAGTGCAGTGTTGTTGAAGGAAGAAAACAAAATTCAGCAACCGATCTACTTCGTCAGTCACACTCTGACGGATGCCGAGACTCGCTACCCTCTACTCGAGAAAGTCGCCTTTGCAGTAGTGGTAGCTGCTCGGAAGCTGAGGCCCTATTTTGATTTCCATCAGATAGTGGTCTTAACTGATCAGCCGCTGGAAAAAGTTCTCGGCAAAGTTGAAAAATCTGGTAGGCTGGCCAAGTGGGCTTTTGAGCTCACCGAATTCAGCATCAGCTACCAGCCGAGGGCTGCCATCAAGGCTCAAGCTCTAGCGGATTTCTTGGCCGAATGCTCGTACCAAGAGACGCTAGACAATGAAAAGAAAGTCTGGACCGTGTTTACGGATGGATCCTCCACCGTAAATGGTTCGGGGGCAGGGGTAGTGATAACCTCTCCCGAAGGCAAATCCTTTGAGTATGCACTAAAATTTTCTTTTAAGGCTTCGAACAACGAAGCTGAATACGAGGCAGCAATCGCTGGCCTAGAATTATGCATCTCTCTGGAAGCTGAGCATGTCTGCCTGAAAACAGACTCTCAGCTAGTTGCATATCAGATCAGTGGCAGCTACGAGGCCAAAGAACCCTCCATGATAGCCTATCTTGCCAAGATCAAATCAGTCATTGCAAAGCTGAGAACTTTTGAGGTTCAGCTGATCCCAAGGGGTCAGAATTCTCAAGCCGATGCACTCTCCAAACTTGCCAGTTCAACTCTCACTAAGCTAAACAAATCTGTATATGTGGAAGTGCGTCGAGAAAGAAGTGTCGACGAAGCACCTGAAGTGTGTTGCGCTGACCCAGAGCCCAGCTGGATGGATCCCATCCTAGCTTTCAAGCTTCGGGGAGAAATTCCCGAAGAAAGAATATTGGCCTCCAAGCTGAAGAGAACCAGCTCAAGGTTCATTGTCTTTAGAGGGGAGCTTCTGAAAAAGTCCTTCTCAGCCCCATTGCTGAAATGCGTGGGACCAACAGATGTAGATTATATCCTTCGGGAGATTCACCTCGGCATCTGCGGGAACCACATCGAGGGAAGGGCCTTAGCCCACAAGGCATTGAGGGTC